TGAGTACAGGATGTTTTGAAGGGCTACTGTAAAAGGCATAGAGAGGAGAGGGAAGTGCAGTTGTTATTATCGTGCTGAGATCTGCCAGTCCGGGTCTCTCACTTGACAGACTCGTCACACTGATGCTATCTGCGCTGACGAGATTAAAACAGCTGAGGCCGTATCATCCTCCAGAACGCAAAGAGACAAGAGTAAACTAAAGCCAAACGAAAGAAGAGAAGGAGGGAGGAAGAAGGAGGGAGACGCCATATGATGTAGACTCATCATTTACTGCACTGTGGAGCCAAGTTTGAAGGGGTCATTATAGTCCATATCTGACAAAAAAGGAAAACGGATCGACTTACCAACATTGATTGGTGCTTTTTAAAGGTGCACTGTGTAACTTGTCTGATGGAGAGTCTGTCACCTGCTTAGAATCTCCATGGGGACCTTGCAAGCTAAATTACAGACTAGATTTGTGGAGAAGCGACCCCACTCACAGTAAGAATGGATGTTTTCGAAGATATTTATGAGCAATAAATAACATTTAAACCAGCAGTTTTCAATAGGTGAGGCTGCTTGCCCTGGGAGACGCCAAAGAGCCACTGAGGAGGCGCGACACGTGGACTAAACCAGGACTAAACCAGGAACAAACCGGAACTGAACCAGGCCAGTGTTGGGACGGGCCTGGAGGTGGTTTAGGTCTAAACCTGGTGTCCTACTAATGTTCAGTGATGTTAAATGTAGTCTCATTTAGGCCTGCATGAAGTTGGAAATTATTTGCTTTTGCAAAAATTATTTATGAAAAGAAAAAAAAGAAGAAAGAAACAAAATACAATATTTAAAAAATATATATTATTAGTTATTGAAACTTGGCATTGCCAGGAACACAAAAGATGCATTTACTTCAAAGGCCTGTGTGTAATTTGCATAATATATCAATGAAGACTGTGTCAGCACTTGCAATCTACTTGTTTAGTTTGTCCAGTGTTGTAGTTTAGTTCTGATGTAGACTTAGTTTGGTCTTGTTCTATACGTGGTTTAGTTCTAGTTCTGGTTTAGTCTCAATTCTAGTGTGGCATTTGTGCTCTACTGTGAAGCATCCCTCTGGTAGTATCCAATTAATAGCTCAGAACCTGTTTTTCGTGATTCCTTTCAAACTCAGGGACGTAACACTTTTGAGTACTTCGCCTCTGCTCAAAATACTCCGCGCAGTCCTTGAACTCGTTTGCCTTGATAAGAAATGTAAAGCACTTAATTTCTTAACGCAGCCGCATGTATCCACTGCAGCAGACTGGAGAGCTGATGGATCTGCTGTCTATCGGATATGATGATTCAGCCTGGCTATTACGCAGAGTGATACAGGCACAAGGCACTGCTCTTTATGGTCAGTGAGACAGTGGCGGGCTCGGGGAGGAAATATAACTTAACACCGAATGACTTTGAGATCATAGCCGTTTTAATCAGCGTCCGGAGAATTACGAGTTTTTAAATGGATGCTGCACTTTTGGAGTAAATCAGGGGAAGAGGAGGCAACGGGGCTGTCCAAGTGACCCAAAATATTGGAATTTACAACTAAAGAAAAAGTTAAGACACTCTGTAAGATGAATGTGCACATAGGACTATATATTTTTTACAGTCAGAAATGATATAATAAAATGTACTGTAAATGATCACATGGTAAATTTTATGGTTTGCAGCTCCATTTAAGATAGCGGAATTTTATGTCAGCAAAATGTCTACGAAATACTTGACATGGACAAAATCGATAGAAAGTTTTACTTGTCAAAAATGTTGGAGGAGCAATTTTGCAATCAACTTTCAAAGTGCCCATATTACACTATGTTATAATGTTGTTTCCTGATTACACACACACCTGGAGTTGTGTTTTGTTTCATTCACACATGTTTAACGCACAAACACACGTATTTAGAGTTCTTCTCTCAAACAGAAAATGCTCTATTCCACCTTGTGATGTCATGTGATATTACAGGAAGTGCTCCACTGTGTTTTAAAACCTCATACACTTCACTAGAATCATTTGGATTATTTCAGCCCTGCATTTGCCAAACTCTGTTAAACAAATGGTAAACAGTAGCTGTTAACTCGAAAACTACAACTACGTGACATCACAAGGTGGAACAGAGCATTCTGAGCTTCGGAGATGGAGACAAACTAATAATAAAGAGTTATGCAAGCATGTGTGAATGACACAAAAAACAAGTCCAGGTGTGTTCTGAGGAGGTAACAACATTCTAACATGGCTTAATTCTCACACAAGTCAATTTTGTGTAATATAGGACCTTTAAGAGGCAACATCTCTATGAAATTCATACACACACTGTACACACACTATTTTAGCTTACAAGAAATGGAATAATGATCCTTGTTTTTTAAGTCAGTAGCATAGAGATTGTACTGTTTTTTTGCCCTGTTGATTTATAGAGTAAGGGTGAGCATGCCAAATTTTAGAAAGAATTGTTGTTAAAAAATGTAATGGGACATGGACAGAAAGATTTAAGACATTTAAGTTAATAGATAAATTTATTGCAAAAACACTTTTTTTTTTTTCCCTCATAACACATAGAGATTAGGGCACGGTATCATTTAGAAGTTACTGATACGATACATCCTCAATACATAGGCCACGATACAATACATATGTCTACACAGTGAGCTTACAATTCGATACGATATATTTCAAATCGATTTGATTCGGTTCAATAAAAAATAAAGTCTAAATCATGTCTGTGATACTAAAAGTCTTTGTGAAACCACGTCTTGTGCAAAGTTAATATAAAACACACCCAATTTAATCATCAAAACAGTGAAAATGTCAAATGTGTCACATAAATGAGTTTCCTTCCTCTGAACATGCAACAAAACTGTAGCGCTGTAACAAAATAATTTAGTAAAATATCCCAAAAAATACTCTTGCCTATATATCAATACATCAACCTACAATATCGATACAGTATTTACATTAAACAGTACAATATATCAATATTTTAATATTTTTGCACACCCCTTGTAAAGATAGATTGGAAACCCTGAAGCCCAGTGCAGTCAAAAACTCTAGAACTCTCTTTTGAAAGTCATGTTATCTACGTAAATCTTACTTTTTTTGTAATACAATTCATCTATGTGGCAGTGAAAAAGTACAGGACAAAGTGTGCAGGACAAAAGAGGGACAGGTACACGGTGCAGTCAGAGCATATCAGACAGCTAATGAGTGTTACTTTAACATTTAGGGAGTAGATAACCAGATAATATCACATTTATAGGCTACATTATCTAATTTCATACCCTTAGTAGCATTTTATCTTATCATCCACATTTCACAGAGTTCTTAAACGTGTTCGCTCTAGGCCAAGTTTTACTGTGTAGGCCATGACCCCTCTGACAAATCTGCCTTTTTACACTCTCCAAATTCTTACACATATTTAATAAAAGAATCCTTATATCCACCAGCTCTGACTTCGGCACATTACATTCCACGCATGGAGAAAAAAGAGGACTAAAAGGATACAGAAAGTGAATAAAACAAAAGGTGAAAGGAGGCATCCATTCTTCGGTTCGTGGAGAGGTTTCTTCAGCTTCCCTAACCTCTTTCATTAACAGAAAAGGCAAACTCACCATTTTCCTGCTGTCTTTTTGACCCCAACATGATCAAAAATTGGGTCACGGTTCAGGAGCCCATATACCCACATGCACTCACTCATCCCGGCGTGTACTTTAACATTTAAACTAGCACCTTGACCATTTACACTGACCTGCACACAATCCCAGCTCTAATCAGGCGTGCTCAAACAATACTGGTCCACATCCACCCGTGCCTGATTGTTTCCACACAGGCTAAAGCTAAACGCTAACAGCTAACAGCTAGCAGTCCCCCGCTTTGGTTCAAGAGGCCAGAGGAGATTTATGGCCAGGCGGGGATTGCTCCTCCTAATGTATTCCTGAGTAAAGACCAGACTAGGGCCTCTGGGAGAGTGAGGCGAATAGCAATGACCGTCTGTATGGACTGGGCAGATAGAAGGGGACCCTCACTGCACTGCATTAACTTTTAATTATGACTTCCTCCAAAATGCAATTACTTGTCACAGACCCATTGCTCCCAAGCTTCACCACTTCACCAGAAAATTATACGTCTGCTGTGTCCCAAATCTTGACAAAATGTGACTAATAATCTTGTCTTTTGTGTTAAATACTTGCTAGAAGCCGTTTTTTTTTAAAAACAGTGGAGCTGGTACAGAATTCACTGATTATTTGTGGTAGTTGTAATGGCATCTAGAGCAGACCTGGGTATTGTACAGATCTGGGGCCACATACAGCCCTTTGGTTGACTTCGACCAGCCCGTATAAGCCCATTTGGAATCACAAAATAAACATATTTTATAATATTACCTCATGCATGGGCTAAAGCTGCATTGCTCTTTTTTTTTTTTTTTTTTGTAAGGCAAACCTCACTTTTTCATGACTTAGTCATAACATAAACTCTTACCAGTCTTACCAGCTCATCAAAACAGTGCAACAAGAAATACAACTCATATTATGCAGAATTGAGTTAAGCATTTTGGCCCGGCCTTCCACAATTTTTTCTGTTTCTCATGTGAGAACCCACCCATTGCCCACCCCTGATCTACACAGATTCTTAATTGTTATTGAAGAAAAAATATAATACCAATCACTCCAAAATGAAATAATGATAAACTATTATTTTAACAGTAGTAGTTTTTGGTGCACAATGGCTTCTGTATGTGGAGTACTCTGAATCAGATGAATAGTCATAGTAGTATTCGTAGTATTCGTAGTATTCTTTGTAGTAGTAGTAGTAGTAGTAGTAGTAGTAGTAGTAGTAGTAGTAGTAGTAGTAGTAGTAGTAGTAGTAGTAGCAGTAGCAGTAGTAGTAGTAGATCTTTTTGATCTATATTATAAGTGATGTTGAGTATTTTTATTTTGTCATAACTAGTCTTGAATAGTGAATATTCACATGTCCTTGTCCTTGTGTGTCTGTGCAGGTACTTGTCCAACACCTCGTTCACGGGGGCGACCGGTCTGATCCAGGTGGAGCCCTCTCACTCGCGGGTGCTCTCCTCACAGCTCTTCCACGTCTGGAGCCTGAAGAGGGGCGCTCTGGGGCAGCCGGCCTGGGTCACCGTGGGACAGTGGACCCGTGGGACTCTGGAGCTGGAGAACGGCATTCTGGGATTGGTTGGCGGGTTCGGGAACAGCCAGGGCCAGGGTCTGGGAGCGGGGGTGAGAGGAGGGGAGGGGCAGATGGAGGGCATGGTGTGGGGGAGGTGGAGACCGGGCCTGTCTGTGGAGGGGCACCGTCTGAGGGTGGTCACACTAGTGGAGCACCCGTTTGTGTTCACGCGTGAGGTGGATGATGACGGCCAGTGTCCCGCGGGGCAGATGTGTCTGGACCCAAGGACCAATCGCAGTGATGTCATCAACAACATATTCAACCAGCTCCACAATCCTAACTCCACCGCAGCCGATTGGGACGGGCCTGGTGAGTCACACCTAAGTCACACTGTTCGACTTTTACAAGACATACAATTCTACAACCCAGAACCCAAGACTTTATAATAACTTCGCCTTATTTCACCTTAAAAAAGCATGACCAAACTCAAAATGAACAAATAGTTGAGAATGATTTAGTTTATTGTTTTTGTCAGTGTTTGTCCACTGATCTGAAGGTTGACAGTTCCTGTCCCGCTCTCGACATAAACATCATTGTTAGAGCAGTCACATCCACTGACCCACAGGTTGGTGCTGCGATTCCACCTCCCTCAGAGTGCTGTTGTTGTGTCCTTGTGCAAGATACTTAACCCATCTCACCCTGGTGTATGAATGTACGTGTGAATTGGTGAGTGTTTCCTTGAAGTACTTTGAGTGCCTTGAAGGTGGAAAAGCGCTATATAAAAATAGGATCATTTTATTTGAACAGGAACCTTGTGTAAACACATTCATCTCATAAAAGAAGAGAAGCTTTACACCAGATTTAACTAACGCTAGTTTCCATACACAGTCCCAGAGCAAGTTAACAAACAATTAATGCATGATTCAGGCTTATTAACTACAGTACTTACTTAAGTAGTTAGTGTTAGGGTAATTACTAAGTCTGAAAAATTCCTATTCAACTATATGTTCATTATGAATTAGGTCTTTGTTCATTAACACTTATTTCAGTGTAGTTATTATAAAGAAACTCTGGGGCACTTTGTTGTACTAGTAAAAAGGTTACAGAGACCATCTTTTGATCCATTTTTGAACAGCCAACATAAAAGTTGATTTTGTCTTGATCTTTTCCAATCTGAAAATAATGACTGCACTTGTTGTAGCGTTTTTAGAGAAAAAGTACACAACAGAGCAAACCAACAACCTCATTACTGTGAGATTTGCCAAAAAATACTCCATATAATGTAAAATAATTTCACTTCACAAGCCTTTCTTTCGGAACTTTTTAGAATTGACTCAGCTAATTCTCAATACTTGTGGTAATCTGTTCATTGCTCTGCCTATGTCACACAATTCACTTTTTAATTGCTTAAACTTTGGAAGCAATTTGCACTGCGCCTATTTATCCTGTCCCAATATTTCCACGACTTTGAATCAAATGATGTAAGTATTATATGATTGCTCATGTTAAATACTCTATTAACCCAGCAGGATTGAGGTTGAGTTAAAGCTGATGAGGGGTGCACCAATTAGGCCATACACTGACATAAGTTCGACCAATGCCTGATTAAATCAACACACATTTTTAGTCATTATATAATTTACTATTTCTGGGCATGATCGCAGCCACCAAGTAAACACTTTAAATTACAGATAAGCAGAGTGCTGTTACTTCAACATTATATTAGTAAAGAATCGGGATGCACCAATCTGATACTGGTATTGAATATCAGCGCTGATGTTGAAAATGTTGCTGGATCTGAGATGGGCTTCCAAATATTGGTTCAGTTAATATCCTGGTTGGACATATAAATTGATGTAATAAGACTATTTTCTGGTTGTAATTTGCACAGAAAATCTCACAATATTTGAACTTTTATTTACACAAAGCTGTTCTGTAGTTACATGAGAGATAAATGACAGCTACACAACACATCTGGATCTGTTTTGTTATTTATTAAATGCTCTTTTCAGTCTCTGGTGTGGTTCGCCATAAAATCGAAATTGGTATCAGAACTGAAAAAGCAGGATTGGTGCATCTCTACAGAAGTACTACATTTACATAATGGTCTAAAAACTAGCTCAAGTAAGAGAAAAAAGGTATTTGGAGAAAGTACTGTTCAATTAATTTCAAGAGTAACTGTCTAGACAGAACATCTATTTTTTAAATAATTTGAGATCAGTGTAAATGGAAGAACAAAACATCAAATAACTTTAAACATCTTTCATTTACATCACAAAAATTAGAAAAACTAAACATATCTGAAGGCACACAGAACACAAGTTTTCAAATTAAGTGATCTTGCCAACATAAAGACTCACAATGGGAAGAGTAACCAAAACTTTCACTCAAATAAGAGCACTCAACCTACAAAACGTGGACGAACAGGAGAAAAATATTTGACGCGCGTCCAGGGCATCCACTTCTATAGATGAGACTTTTTCTGTCTCCTCTTCTCAGTAGTAGACAGCTTTGTTGTGGACGTGCTCAGCCATTTTTCAAAATTCAGAAGCCAAATCCAGTCTTGAGTACTCCTTGCTGTTTTATAAGCTCTTTATCTCATTACTATGGACATCAGCACCACAAATAGCACCTCTCCACAAAACTCAAGTTGATTTCTGAAGCAAAATCAATAGGAGATCATGGCTAGTCAGTCCTGTTCAATATCTCAAATGAATATCAATGCATCTGGCCCCAAGGAGCATCTCTACTTCACAACGAAACCATAGAAGAAGAAGGATGAATAAGAGATCTGGACTTCTGTCATCAAAGAATATATATTCTACTTGTGGAAGATTTCTAACTTGGCATTCAGATCATAAATGCAGTCATAAACCATCTTAATATTGTTTGATTAAAAGTATAAGGTCTGAAATTAACATTATGGATGACGAAGCTTTTTTATTTTATATGCGGCCTTAATGGTCATAGCGTTGATTGTAAAACTAATAGCGTTGGCAACCCTAATACAATTTTAAATATCAAATTCCCAAATTGTCTTGTAGATAGTGTTAAAACAGAACAACCACGCTCATTACTGCCAAGTTTTAAAAGCTTTGGGAGCGAAGTTGACTTGGCAAAAAAGAGATACTAAATTAATTGGGAAAAAACCTGTATGATGATGTTGCTGGAGATTTTTTATTACATGGGGCAGGGACTTAAGCTTGGATCATCAACATTTCAGTCGGGGTCAAATCCCGCCAAAGTTGCAACCTCTGCTCTTTAAAACATGCATATTAATAGCTGAATAACTATACTTTAAAAATCATGTATTATATAACATCAACTTTTATTAAATTTTAACCTTAAAACAGTGTCTTCTATCAACATTAGCTTAAAAATGCACTGTGTAACATTTCTGATCCGCCATCTGCTTGTCTCCATGGTGATGTTATTGCTTTGCCTGGTATGTTATTGTGAGCAGGTCCACAGATCTGACCTGTACCTTGGACTAGTCATGTGGCCTCATTGTCTCCATGGAGATGGTTAAATTAAATGCCATTCTGGAGATCATTTCAGGAAAAACACACACACACACACAAATTATTCAAAGTGGTGGACCCTCTACCAGAAAAGTTACACAGTGCACCTTAAAGTTGTATTTTAATTGGCTCATTCATGTTTGAGTTAAGTAGCGTCCAGCTTTCAAGGCTTGAGTGCTCAGAATATCTCAGTTTTCAACTGCTCCTTATCTCCACCCTTTACTCTGTACTTATTTTCAACAATGGCCCAATTTCTATTACAAATTTGATTAAGATCAATATTAAAGAGGGGGTATTATGCAAAATCAACCTTTTTGAGCCGTGCTATAATGTCCCTTCATCAAAAACATGTCTGAAGACATTTTAGATGCCATCCATGCATGGTTTGGGTAATTTAGTTATCGCTCCTGGGCTCTTTTCAAACCCTCCTTATGGTTAGCTGTAAGATTTTGTCCAAATTATAAACATGTTAATTACTGTATTTTTCGGACTATAAGTCGCTCTGGAGTATAAGTCGCACCAGCCAAAAAATGTGTTAACGTGACATATTAACAGTTATTCAAATTAAACTATAAACAACAGAAGAGAAGTAGTTTACCAAACTCTTGATCACCAAATCCATTGAATTCTTCATCCTCAGTGTCACTTTTGAGCAACTCCGAGACCTCTGGAGGTAAACAGAGCGCCACTTCCTCTTCTGCGTAGCTGTCGTCATCTCAGCAGCAGTTCCAGTTAGAATTATTCTGGCCTTTCTGAATTCCCACAGGATGGTTTCAGTTGTCACTGAAGTCCAGGCTTTGTCGATCCATCAGTGGCTTCCAGGAAAGTTGCATGGCGCACGCTCCTGGTTGTCACAAGTTTCTCACTCACTCCAAACTTTCTTTCTGCTGCTCGATTTCCATTTTCGGCTGCAGATTTCACTAATTGCATCTTGTAATCTGCAAAATATGATTTTCTTTTTGGGGGCATTTGTGTTCAGTCTTCTTAGTTGTCTTTATAAATTTGTTTAAATTTTAAATTTTCAGTGATACAGAAGTAATGGTGCGATCAACTGACATGATACAGACAGAACAGCGGCTCTTTCTGTAGGAGACATGCACAGTAGAGCATGAAGTGACAGTAGTACAGGAGTAATAGGAGCAGCAGATACTGGCACACCAGCCTAGAGCGCCCTCTAGTGGCTGTCAGTGTGAAAATGTTTATATATAAGTTGCAAGACCACCCAAAATATGAAAAAAGTGCGACTTATAGTCCAAAAAATAAGGTACATGTTTTCAGCGAATATAGCATTTTCAAAATAATAAAAGGTAACATGGACTAAAAGTTTACAGTGAACAAAATGTAAAATTATGATCTCTGCATGTTATAGTTCAAAAGTCCCCGAAAAACCACATGTCTTATTTGTAAATATATTCTCCTTTCAGACTTGCCAGAGGACGTGAGAAAGTGTTGCTACGGTTACTGCATAGACCTGTTGGAGAAGCTGGCAGAGGACATGGGGTTCACCTTTGACCTTTACATCGTGGGGGACGGGAAGTACGGAGCTCTGAGCGGGGCCGGGCGCTGGACGGGGCTGGTGGGGGACCTGCTGAACGGAACAGCGGACATGGCCGTGACCTCTTTCTCCATCAACTCGCAGCGCAGCAGAGTCATCGACTTCACCTCGCCATTCTACTCCACCAGCCTGGGCATCCTGGTACGGCCAATGAAACTATTGTTGTATAAAGTTAAAGACCCGCAACATTTGTATTCTAAAAGCATCCTTATTTTAATCATGAATCATTAGGATGCAAGGAAAGTGAGGGATAACTTAGGACCAGTGTGCTTCGTGGTGTTCTAAGACTCCATATAGTTAGCTGTGTAACTCCTTGTTAATTGATGGAGATGTTCATAACTGTGCACTATGTCACCTCCTTTTTTGTTGGATATGTCATTCTCTGCCTGGAATGTTCCACAGTATGACATTTCACGACTCTACTGCACATTTATTCAATTGCAGGTGGTTTTATAGCTCAAAAATACCTAGAACAACATGTATTCTGACTGTGAGTGGGGATGCCTCTCCACAGATCTGACCTGTAACCTGGTCTGGGCTGATCTCCATGAAGATAGAAATGTTTAATGCCATACTGTGAAACATTCCAGACAAGGCAGTAGAAACACATTTGATCTTCCACCAAAAAGTCACACAAATCAACTTTAACCTTTTTAACCTTGGTGCTTGACTTTTTTGTACAAAGTAACCCAGGCCCAATCTCATATTATGTAAATGTTTCATATTCTTCTGATTATGGGCCCTCAAAAGGATGCTTGTGGCCCCTCCATTGGTCAGAAAGAATTTTAATGAAATCTGGCATGTATTATTTTCACAGAAACGCACCAGTAGTCTGGCAACAATATGCTCTCAAAAATCTACCATTTCAATGTTATGATTAAAAATGTTATATTACCATTTATATTTTATTCTGAATGTACAAAAATAGACAAACTAAATCCACCTGCTCCTCCTCAAAAAACCTTGAGCACATTTATAAAGTTGCGTAGCATCATTAATTTTAAATGTTTCTTTCAAGTTTTTAAAAAGCTTTCAGACCCGGTCCAAAAGATCAAAACCCAGAAAGACAAAACAACAAATTGAGCAGAACCTCAATCATGATTATTTTATCCCTCTACTTTTGATTCGATTTGGTGCTATGAGACATCCATAGATACAAAGAGTGTAAATAATCCATTGGACATGTACATTAAATATTTACATTGGGTCTTGTGATGGGTTAATCTGCTCTCTATAGATGACATGTATTAGTGATCAGCAGACATGGCTACGCCTCACCCTTCTGCCCCTCACATTCTGTCCCTCTCATTCTGTCCCTCTCCTACCCCCTCTTTCTGCCCCTCTCATCATACCTCTATCATTCTGCCCTTCCCATTCTATCCCCTCGTTCTGCCCCTCTTATTCTACCCCTCTCATTCTACCTCTCTCATTCTGTCCTTCTCATTTTGCTGTTCTCATTCTACCCTTCATTCTGCCCCTTTCATTCTACCCCTATCATTCTGCCCTTCTCATTCTGTCCCTCTAATTCTACCACTCTTTCTGCTCCTCTCATTCTACCCCTCTCATTTTGCCCTTCTCATTCTACCACTCTTTTTACCTTTCATTCTGCCCCTTTCATTCTAACCCTATCATTCTGCCGTTCTCATTCTGCCCCTCTCATTCTGCCCCTCTCATTCTGTCCCTCTCATTCTACCCCTCTCATTCTACCTCTCTCTACCTCCCTCTTTCTGCCCCTCATTCTACCTCTATCATTCTGCCCCTATCATTCTACTCCTTTCTCTGCCCCTTTAATTTTACTGCTATCATTCTGCCCCGTCATTCTACCCCTATGAATCTACCTCCTCTTTCTGCCCCTATCATTCTACCCCTGTCATTCTTCTCCTATCATTCTACCCTTCATTCTGTCCCTTTAATTCTACTCCTCTCTTTCTGCCCCCTCATTCTACCTCTATCATTCTGCCCCTATCTTTGTACCCCCTCTTTCTTCCCCTTTCATTCTAGTCCTATCAATCTGCCCCTCTCATTCTGCCCTTCTCATTCTGCCCTTCTCATTCTGCCCTTCTCATTCTGCCCTTCTCATTCTACCCTTCTCATTCTACCCTTCTCATTCTGCCCTTCTCGTTTTGCCCCTCAGTGAGGAGCACAGAGAGTTTAGTCTGTGCATAATTACTGTGCCCAGACTCCATTTCTGAATACTGATGAGAGCCAGTTTAGTTTCAGAGAGCTTGGTGTGAAGATGTTGCGTCTAAACTATTAACGATTAAAGGTGCACTATGTAACTTTTCTTGTAGAGAGTCTACAAACAGTTTATCGCCATGGAGACACGAGAGCAAGTCCCCGTACAGAGTAACAATACAGTATTTTTTGACAAGTAGTAGTAGTAAGTAGTTAGTAGTAAGTTCGACTGCTAAATCCCACAGTGAAGACAATTTGAGCTAGAGCCCGACCGATATTATCGGCTGATATGGGCAACTTTAGGCATATCGGCTATCGGCCGATATGCTTGCTGATAGGGGCCGATATTTCACGTGGGCATGTTATACCTCGTTATAAAGCTTAGACTCTCTACATTCTGTTCATTTAATCCAATTTACAGACAGATAAATGTCCTAATATGTGGCTCCACATCAGTATTTATCTACGGAGTCATTTGTCTGTGTGTGTCCGTACTGTCCCTGAACACACCACAGAGTCGCGTCACTCACGTGTGTTTGTTTACACCTGCAGACACAGATCCAAACACTGAGATTATATTCTTTTTACGGACAATCGGTTTGAGTCTGGATTAAAAGGACATTTATTAGTGCAGATTTGTGATGTGAGGAGGAGCCTGTATGAGCGGTGAGTGTTGGAAATATGTCGACTCTGAAGCTAGTTTTTGTCATTTGTTATGGGTTAGCTGCTGTAGCTCCCGCACATAAACAGGCTGTTTTCTATTGGTCTGTTCTAAAGTGACTATATTGGCCGTATATTTGTTACTGGACCTGCACTGATATGGAAATGAGCTGTGAACAGACGTGTGAATTATGACATTTGCGCATATAATTAATTACCCGCGGCGCGCACGTATTTACGGCTAAAGGCTAATAGCGCTACTTTCTTTACTAGTTATGGGTCCGTCGCGAACGAAATGACTCTTAGAACCGGCTCTTTGAAGGGAACGACGGGAGCAAATTGAGAAATTTGCGTGTACGTAGGATAAAAAAAAAAAAAAAAAAAAAAAAAAAAAAAAAAAAACGAGCATATTTGACTGTAGTTTAGCATAAAATAAATAAGTCCCGGTTTAGTCCTTTTTCAGTCCTGGTTTAGACCTGGTTCAGTCCTGATTCAGTTCTGCTTTAGACGTGCTTTAGTCCTGCTTGCAACAAAACAATCTGAAGAGCCACTTGGGAGCCAAAAGAACCAGCAGCTTTTAGTGAGCCGAGCCAAAAGAGCCGGTTCTCTAAAAAGAACTGGAATACCCATCACTAGTGTCTAGAATGTGATGCAAAAATGCCATTAAGCCAGTGCTTCTCAAATAGTGGGGCGCGCCCCCCTCCGTCAAGGGGGGCGCGTTTGACCTCGGGGAACATGCTTTTTTATTTTTTTATTTAGATTTTTTTTACTGTCTTAAGGGCCGTTCACACCAAAGCGTCAAAAAACGCCTTGACGCCTCTATTTGGAGCCTTTGCATTTGAGTTTAGACGCCCCCCGACGCGCGTCTTTGACGCCGTGGACGAACGGGACAAAAATACTTGACGCGCGTCCGTTGCCCTGGAAACAAGAGCCCGGTCCCGGTCTTTTCCCGAAACAATGTCAGACCAGACTGAGAGAGTGTTTTTATGACATAAAACATCAAAAGGAGGAGATCGGGTCGACGACTGGGGCGTATATATATTTATACTCCGCTAATGACACTGGATCAGTCCCGGTCTAGTCCTGGTCTAATACCGGTCTAGTCCTGGTCTAATCACGGTCTAGTCCCGGTCTAGTCCTGGTCTAATCACGGTCTAGTCCTGGTCTAATCACGGTCTAGTCCCGGTCTGGTCCCGGTCTAGTCCCGGTCTAGTCCTGGTCTAATCACGGTCTAGTTCCGGTCTAGTCCTTGTTTAGTCTCGGTCTAGTCTCGGTCTAGTCTCGGTCTAGTCCTTGTTTAGTCCCGGTCTAGTCTCGGTCTAGTCCTTGTTTAGTCCCGGTCTAGTCCTGGTTTGGTCCTGGTCCGGTCCTGGTGTAGTCCTCGTGCGATCGGCTCGGTGATTGTGGCGTATATATTTATTCTCCGTTCATGTTTGTGGTTCTCGTTTTGGTTCTCGGGTCTTTCTTCCTGATAATAACGTCGCTGCGTCTCTGGATACTCGTCCCTGATTGGTTGACGCGGCGCGTCTGACGCGAAAAGTTCAGCATTTTCAACTTCTTGACGCTGACGCCTTGGACGCGCGTCTTGGCCGCTGACGCCAAAACGCTGAAGACGCGCTGCACTGACGCCAGATTTGTGCCGCGCTGACGCCGAAAACGCGCCGCAAAAACGCAGGACGCTCTAGTCGCGCGTCCACATAGACTTTACATAGAAAGTGGACGCTTTGACGCTTTGGTCTGAACGGGCCTTTAGAATAAAGTGCAATTGCACTTCCACTACATTAGGGGGCAGAGCGCTCTCATTGGCAGAGTGTGCGCAGGGAGCATTCGCTCGGTGGTGTAGGAGTTTTGTTTGCACTGAGCATGCGCGCTTTGCACACAGCACAGAGTTTGAGTATGAAGTGTAGACACGAAGTGTAGCAGACCCTCAAGTGACACCATGAAAAAATATTTAACAGGGATGAGAAGACAGACGGAGAGAGACGGAGATAAAGAGACAAACGAAAATCTCCCGAAAGCTAAGACGAGGAAATATGACGAAGCGTATGTAGCGCTTGGCTTCACTGTGACTACGGTGGGAGACGAGGAAAGACCCGTGTGCTTACTGTGTCTAAAAATGTTGGCAGCGGACAGCATGAAGCCCAATAAATTAAGGCGTCACTTAAATACATTACACCCCAATCACTCTGATAAGCCGCTTGAGATTTTTCAGCGAAAACGTGCCGAATATTGCCGACAATCATCCCGCTTGTGACTGCTACTTCAGTAAACCAGCGAGCATTGTTGGCGTCATATAAGGTGGCAGTGTTACGCACAGGTGTACTTATAACAATTTTATAGACAAATGATACTATCTATAGTCACGCGGGGGGGCGCGAGATGTTTTATTCGTCCTAGGGGGGGCATGACAGAAAATAATTGAGAAGCACTGCATTAAGCCAACCTACTGTCTGTAAATATGATGTAAAGAGGCAGAATAACAATAAATGTTGCCTAAATAAACCCAATTTAAAATCCACCAGAGCCAAACCGAAGTTTTTTAAACAATTCAACATTTACAGTGAATTTTTACATCACTAAATATATCGGTGATTATATCGGCTATCGGCAGCGCCAACTCCCATTATATCGGTTTCATATCGGCCACAGCAAAATCCATATCAGTCGGGCTCTAATTTGAGCATTAAAATTATTAGAATGAGTCTGTTGAAAGTGTATGAACTTTAAAAACACAGAGGAGCTCTTTCTGGATAACCACCTAATGACATTATATACTCTACGTGTGACTAAGCATTTTCAGATTTTAAACATGTCTTGCTAAAAGAAAAGACAACTCTGTGTATGTTTTTGAGGAGGAAATAACATAGCACCATGGGTAAATATCACAATAGAACTGAACATACTATTACACATTATTAAAAATCCATTCACCGGTCCAGATGCAGACTTGGTTTTGGTCTAATCCTGGTTTAGTTCCAGGTTTAGTCCTAGTTTTGATGTGGTGTGTCTTGTTTACCATACCAGTACTACTCATATTAGGGTTATAAATATATCAATGTCTACTACTGTTACTTCTACGACTAGTACTATTCTATTGTTAATCCATTTTACCAAGTGTTCAAATATTTTATAAGCCATCTTTGCTCCCAGCACTCAGAGGCACTGTAGTTATTTTGAGTAGTTAATACTTCCCTCTGCGAGAGACAGATTGGAGCACATAATATCCTCAGACTCCAGCGTTTCATTTCAAAGCTAAATCCCCAGTTTACAACGAGAGAAGACCGCGGACCGAAACATGTCTTACTTAACCCACAGAGCCAGCCATCTTGTCCTCACAGCTGTTTCCGTTGTTGTTCTTTTCAGGTGCGCAGTAAGGACACGGCGGCTCCCATAGGTGCTTTCATGTGGCCGCTGCACTGGTCCATGTGGGTGGGCATCTTCGTCACGCTGCACCTCACCGCGCTCTTCCTCACCCTGTACGAGTGGAACAGCCCGTTTGGCATGACTCCCCACGGAAGGAACAGGCTGCGTGTCTTCTCCTACTCCTCCGCCCTCAACCTCTGCTATGCCATACTGTTTGGGCGGACAGTGGCCACCAAGGTAAACCAGCTCTTTCAAGTGTAATTAATCAGCACTATACACTACAGCAGAGCTCCGCGTGTGTGTTTGGAGATAGAGGAGCAAGAGGTTGTAGCATATGCAAAAATGCTGTGGGTTTGCAGGTGCTTAAAGGGTTTGGTGCATTCATTATGATTTATGTTAAAGGGGAACTGTGTACATTTTCTTGTAGAAGGTCTGCCACCAGCTTGTTACCATATTGAGATTATTGCTTGGACTGGAGTGTTCCACAGTATGGGGTTATGCAAAAGTCGCATGGTTTTACAGGTGCTTAAAGGGCCTATATTATAATATTCTCTGATCTATATTATAATTTTGAAATTTCTTTAGGCTGTTTTTAGGGTATGTTCTCCTCTCAAACTAAAACACTCTGTTCCACCTTGTGATGTCATGTGGCAAAACAGGGAAGTGTTACACTTTTTTATTTATATATAGGGCTTTTCACAGACATATGTCACTAAGGCTGCGTTCAGACTGCAGCCTGAAGTGACCCAAATCCGATTTTTTTGGCCCCTATGTGACCTGTATCCGATCTTTTAATGACAGTCTGAACGACACAGATCCGATTTTTTTCAAATGCGACCCAGGCCACTTGGATATGTGCTCCTGAAACCGATACATATCTGATCTTTTGACATGTGACTTCAGTCTGAACGGCCAAAGCACATCCATCCAACCTACACGTCATCAACAAGCGACAAACGTCACTATTCTGCGCTGAAGCAGGCGGAAACTGGAACTGTAAAATCGCCAGGTGCTCAATGCTCGCGTCCATGTTTGGACAACTTCCGTAAACACAGAGCACGCTCACTGCGGTTGATGCATGGGGTTGACGTCATCGTGTCCTCCAGTATGCATGTGGGACACTTTCGGGCCGTTTACCGTTCACACTGGAGTCACAGACAAGTCGCATTTAATTGGAAATGTGAACGACCTCGCAAAAACATCGGATTTCACAAAAAAATCGGAATTGAGCATTAAGCCCTGCAGTCTGAACGTAGCCTAAGACGCTTTACAGAGCATCATTCATTCACTCCATACCTGGCGATGGTAATCTACAGTTGTACCCACAGTTGCCCTGGGGCAGACTGACAGAAGTGCAGCTGCCAATCTGCGCCATTGGCTCACCACCATCACTCCCCCACACACCACTGTCATACTTTTTTAAACTCCATATAGCTTCAGTATGATTATATTTATATTTACAGCCCTGAAATTGCTCATCTCTACTAAACAAAGGGTAACGGTTAGATGTTCACTTGAAAACTTCGTGACATCACAAGGTGGAACAAAGCATTTTGAGCTTTGGAGATGTAGAGAGACTAATAATAAAGGGTTACTCAAACATGTGTGAATGAAACAAAACATGGTATGTTATGTTTTTGATGAGGTAACAACATTTTAACATGGCTTAAAGCTCACAGGAGTCAATTTTGTTTAATATACTGTAGGACCTATAAAGGATCTGGTGCATTCATGAAATTGCATATTAAAGGTGCAAGTATCTTCGGTAAAAGGTCCGCCTCTAGCTTGTTGCAATAGGGATTATTATGTTTTCACTGGAATGTCCCACAGTGTGATGTTATACTTCAGTATCACGGAGACAAGTAGATACTCATAATTACATAGATGCAAGACAAATAAGTTATTGGCCATACTTTCCAGGCAATACCCTAACATCTCCATGGTAACAGGCAGAAAGGTTACAGAATATGCCTTTAATATGAGGTGGATATAGTATACAGCCTAATAGCAGTACAGATACCATTCATTTCAAAGTTTGGTTCATCCCTCTACTGTTAAATTGTATTACAGTACTTAGCCTATTAAAAACTTGTATCAGAGTTGGTATGTACTTGTACGTTCAGAGCTTACATGCTTGTGAGTTGTCAAAGCAAACTTGATTATGTGTATTTTCATCTTGATAATTCAGTTAGCAGTACATTATTTGTGTCTAAAAGCTAAATGGGATTAGCTTATGGCACCATTCTTTCACATAAAGCCACATTGTTCACTTCCACTGAAAGGCTCTATGCTAATGGGTACTTAGAGTAAATGGACCTGCATACTCACATCGGACCTCTATTTACCATGATTCTACTTTAGCTTTTCGTATAATTACAGTACATTTCCATATATTTTAGCCACAAACATGTTAGTACTTTTATTAGAATGTACAATGAGTGAAGATGTTTTCTGGTAGAGGGTCTGCCATGCTTGCCTCCGTGGAGGTGTTATTACTTGGAATATTCCACAGTTTGACATTAAATTTATCTATCTAACCTAATAAAACCTTGAAGCCTGACCTACTGGTGTCCATAGAGATAGATTTATTTCGTACCATTTTGTGGAACATTCCAGGAAAGCAATAACATATCCATGGAGACCAGCAGAAAGGTGCACTGTTAAAGGTCCTATGTTACACAAAATGGACTCTTGTGAGCTTTAAGTCATGTTATAATGTTGTTACCTCATCAAAAACAGACCTGGAGTTGTGTTTTGTTTTATTAACACATGTTTGAGTAATCCTTTATTATGAGTGTCTACATTTACAAAGCTCAAAATGCTCTGCTCCACCTTGTGATGTCATGAAGCAGTTGTTTTCAAGTTAACATCTATTTTTTACCTTTAGTTCAGTAGAGATTGCTACACAAGGTGGAAATTTGTTTTTTTTCTGTTTGAGAGATGAACCCAGTCTAAATATGCAGGGTTTGTGTGAATGAAACAAAAAACAATTCCAGATATGTTTGTGGTGCGGAAACAATATTATAACATAGATCAGAAAATAGCGTAATATGGGACCTTTAAACCCATTTTAAGTACATTCCTTTGTTTTATGGATACCTCCTGGAGGGCCTTAGGTCCCCTTGAGGGTAAAAACAAGTGACAAGTCTCACCTGCACTTCCAATAGAGCAGGTGCCAGACTCATACAGACAGGTGTTTGAGCACATCACTAAAGTGGTCTCAGAGTGTCCCACCGTGTCCCCTTCAACGGTGCGTCCTACACTCTCCTCCTCAGATGGGACAGTGATAATTGGACAAAGAGGGATGTGCTGTGTCTTCACTGATAGAAGAGAGGGGAAGGAGAGGGGAAGGCTTAAACTTTAAGGACAAGAGGAATGTATGTCTTGGTGATATAGGAAAGAAATGAATCACCAATGCTTATATTGTTTAATGACATTTTTTCATTATTAAGGAACCTATGTTACCCTCTGTTCTATGTCATAATGTTGTTTCCCCATCGAAAACATACCTGGAGTTGTGTTAACTATGACTTTCAGTGTTATTTTCAAAAACATAAACAGACAAACATTGATTTGTTTACATGTAACAGAAAAAATAGGCAAATTCTATATCTGAATCCTTTGTGACGCAATGAAAATTTTATATGAAGCTACAATTCTTTTAATCTTATTTGCATCGTGTGTCAAGGTAGGAGAACTTTATTGACGTTTAAACCGTGGCAGACAGAGGAGGGTAGCTGTTTGATGGAGGGAGGAGTATGAGTTGTTTTTGGAAATATCTCCCCTTATTGGGCTGTAGACATTGATGGTGGAGAAGAGGAAAGGGAGTAGCTGAGATGGCTGATGATTCTACTGCCACAGTGGAGATATTACAGTCAAGTTTACTACTGTACGCAGTATGCTTCTGTTAACTTGCTACATCATCATCCAACATCACCGTCATTTATTCTATCAAAAATATCCAGTTTCACTGGATTTAGCAAAAATCTGTATCACTGTTTTGTTACCATCTTCTACAGATATTGTCAATGGAAATATTTTTGATCAAGGAGAGATGGAATAATAATATTTAAATTGATATAAAACACATTTTACTTTTGCATAGACTGTACAAAGACGTGGACTAAGGGAGTGTGACGCCTCACATAACGTTCAGCTCCAGTCAAATGAAGCTCAGGAGGCTAGGAGTCATAGGAGCACATTAGGAGCCAAGTTCTATATTAGGAATAGGAATTTATTTATTTTACAGACAAAATAGCAAAATACCTATGGTGCTGAGCTTTAGGTAATGACCTAAAGGACAAGATCACAAATACAAGCGGCTGAAATGAGCCAGGACACGCTGGAGGGACTATTATAGGAACTACTCTCTCTCGGCTGGCCTGGAAACACCTTGGGGTCCCCCCGGAGGAGCTAGAGGAAGTGGCCGGGGCAAAGGAAGTCTGGGAGTCCTTGCTTAGACTGCTGCCTCCGCGACCCGGCCCCGGATAAGCAGAAGAAAATGGATGGACTATTCCTTATAGTGAAATAAAAGAGAGTTAATACAAATATTTAAAAATGAAAATGAGAGTGCTCACAGCAGCAGTTACAGAGAGAGGGGCGACAATGTTTCAATTTAACGTCAATTAAAACGAGAGTCGATGGAGGAGGAAGAGCCCCTGTGTTCACTTCCTATTAGTGGGTTAGCAATGTCCATTTATATATACAGTCTATGGGTTTTTGAAAACATGACTAGACAAAGATTAAAGTGCAAGCCTGTGAAGCCTTTTTTTTTTATTATTTGCAAAGGACCTCTTCTTTTACTTCACTAACCTGAACACCAATTTACCACTAAACTGTCAGATTTCATTTAGCCTGGACAAATTTGAGATCAAATTGCCCAACTCTCTTAATGTTCCCAGTGAAAGAGATCGGCGGGATCACAAAAGATGGATTGAAGCGAGGTTACGGAGTTTGTCAGTGATGAATGAGACAGGTGCAGGCAGGACCATGCACGGACAGGGGGAGGGGGCAAAGGCTAAGTGCCCGGTAGGAGATGAGCGACTTCTGTTGGGCTGCTGCGGATGGATGAAGGCCCGGGTGAGCGAGGGTAAGATCCCCAAATGGAGAGAGAGAGAGAGACAGTGAGGAGGGGGGATGGGGGGCAAAGAGAAACAGAGAGGAAGAGACAGAAAGGAAGAGAGAGAGAGGAAGAGAGAGGGGGGTAGAGAAAGAGAGGCAGAGAGAGAGAGTGGGGA